GTGCCACCATTACTTGTTTCATTCAGTGGCGCCTTGTAATTCACTGACACGAATGTTTTGTTACAATTTGTTTAATGCTGTTCTCTCTAAGCAGAAGATTTAGCACCAAGTCCGTTTGCTGGTGAGTTCTGTTTTGAGGACTTAAACAGTGCATTGTCTTCAGCCTGATCACCTATTCCAGAAGTTTCTTAAAGTCTGCATTAAGAAAATACCTGTCTTCTTTCCTAGGAACAAGCCAAGAAACTTAAACATCCTGGCTTGTACTTGAATGTCTGGCCTTTATTGTTGTGGCAGTAAGGTTGTGATTTAAGATCCAATGCAACTGTTACAGGTAATTGATTTTGATACTCTTCCTTGCATCATTCCCTGACATAATTTATTCTAATTAATTGTTAGAATGCTTCTAACAGTATCTTGTGTTGACATAGAAGATGCTCTGGAACCTCCACCAAACGTAAATGCAAGAAGTATTAACTTCTGACCCTGTTTCGAGGAATGAGTTTGTTAATTCATATTTCCTCAGGAATACTAGTCGAGTTTCTCTGGCAGAGACACTGAACGTGTGTTTATAAAGCTCATTCAGTTTGTTCCTAATGATGCCACCTCACACCTTGGAAGGCACCTCTCCACCCTTCCGAGCCGCTCTGTGCCACTCGCCGCCTGCCTGTGCTGTTATCGGAGAGCCGTGACAAACCCATTTGTCAGGGAGGGATTTCCTGGGACTGCGATGTACCCAAACCCCCCGGCGTTCCCGAGGAAGTGTGTCAGTGCTCTGGCTCTCCCAGACCACCGTTAGCTGTGCCAGCGATGGGCCTTCTGCTCCCGCTCCCGGCAGTCTCACCGCTCACACCAGCTTCCACAGAGCCCTGTTGGGAGGATGTCCCCACAATGTTATTTTCAGTGTGATCTTTCTGTTAAAACATTCGTTATGCTTCTTTTCTAGCTGATCCTCAAAGCTCAGTCTCTCCTGTGTCATCAGCAGTGTCCGTGTCCCCCACCAGGTACCTTTTAATTCTTCACATGTGATGGCTACAGCCACAAGCAATATTCCGGAAAAAATTAAGACCTTGCGCTGGAGTGAGGGATTTCTTTTGGTTTTCCTTTCTAATAAAACCACGCTGCCCTGTCAGCTGTGGTTTACAGAATTTCCTCAGCGTCAGGAGAGCGAGGGCGAGCAGCGCAGGTGCGGAGGTGAGAGGCGGGAAGCGAGGCGGGGGTGGCCGTGCAACCCGGCCCAGGCAAAACTGCGCAGCGAGGCTGTGGGCAGCTGCTGCTGGTGCTGCTTTCTGCACAGACCAGTCTCCAGGTGATGCTGTAATTAATTAGTGGATTAATTGTGTGCTTTTCAGTGCCTACTAATGATTTTTTCCCCCCGTTTCAACTGTTGGATCCCCTGTGGGGGCACCTTGTATTTCAGCAAAGGGTCCTGCAGCAAATGAGCAGTGACGGTTGGAGGATGGTGGTGGTGCTCCTCAGGCAAAGATGCCTATGAGAAAGTCCGATTGTACTGGCTGAACTTCCACTGAATTACAGTGAGACTGTGTATCCTGTCCCACTAGAAGAGTAATTTGGCAAGAAAAAACTCGAGAGGTGTTTTGTCTGGGGTTTTGTTCATGCACAGTGTCCACCCTCTGGGTAAAGGCGCCACCCGTGTCCGCGTCACAGCACAACCCTGGGGCAGCAGCCCTTGGCCCAGAGTTCGCTGCTGTTGTTGCTGGTTACACCATGGGTAATGTGGGAGCCATGAAGGAGGAGCTGAAGTTGAACTGGGGGCAGCTGATGAACATTCGAGACTAGAATCGTGTTAGAAAACATCATTTGCTCTCGGCTGAGCAAATATCTTTTAATTTTGTGCATGTTGCTTCCCAATTTTACAAACAAACCTTTTGCAAAGGGTTGCTAGTTAAATATTGCGCTGTTCCCTGAGAGGTGACTCTGTACTGTGTTTCAGGTGTCATCTTGTTGCAGTCTGTTTATTGGAGATGATCAATAAAGAGCTCCAACTGTAAGCAAGCTGTGCAGGGGCACCAGCGTTGTCAGACTGAAGCTGAAATGCATGGGCTCAAAATCACATATACACACACTCCACATGTTGTAATCCGAGTAGTTTAATAACCTCTGTGTTTCTTTTTATGTAAACTCTCAGCTGAAGCTACACCATGCAACGGCAGAATTGCCACACTCTCACACCCTCCTCAGCCAGTCACTGAGCAGCCAGTCTCCACGGGTGAATAATGAAGCTGCAGATAACATGTGCACCTCTGAGATTTTAGAAATGATGCTAATATTTTCCTCAAGGCTGCTAGGTTTTCTTTATCTGTCTAAGCATACACATGTTGGTGTCTGTACACACTAAAACCCAGTGTGGTGTTCAAGGTGGTCAGGACTACTGAGTTCTGTTTTAACACTTTCAATCCTCCCTGTTTGCAGTTTCTCTCTTGCCATCATCTTTCTGTCCCTGTCTAGCGTTGTCCTCTCTGGCTGTGACTTCTCTCCCAGGAGTACCACTGGCCCATTATATCTTACTCTGTTCCAATAATCTATGATCAGCCCTTCTCCTTGATTTTACTGTACGCTTCGCACAGCAGAGACACAGAGAGCAGTCTCTCGTTACTGCAGAACTGCCAGTGGAGATAAGTGTGTTTCCTTTGAAAGCAATTATAGGGGAGAGCCTCAGATGTTAACCAGAACTGAATAGATTTAGGAACTCTGTTGCTGGCACTTCAAAATGCTAGATTAGCAGAGCTGCTGGTCCCAGTTCACTGATGCTTGTTCAGTAGCCCCCAAGGCCAAGGTGCAAATGCAGTCCGGATCACAGCACCTGCTATGTATTAGCTCGTATCAGAAAACCACCATGGAGCTGGGCAGCTTAGAAGTATGGACTCCTGAAGCGCACATTGCTTTTGGTTTTCGCTCATAGCTTTTTGTCTTTCTTATCCCAAGCGTCCCACAAAGATTTATGTGTTCTGTTTATTAATATATCAAAATTGTGTGCTATGCAGCTACCCGTCCCTTTGTTGAACGCTGATGAGAAACATTCCATGTTCCCAAAGGGCTTTGTATAAATAAAACAAGACAAATGGGAGATGAGGTGCAGGACAGCTGGTAACCACAGATGAAAGAATAGATGTAAGATGGTTGCATCAGTGGGTGGTGATCTAATGGGTACTCTCAAATTCCCTAGCAATGCAGGACAACAGGTGGGAGAGACAGCTGTTTCTAAAGAGGGTGTTTTAATAATCTGTTTTATCATCTTGCACAATCTATCACTGAGACCGCTTTGCTTTTTTAAATTTAACTCCTAGTACCTAAATCTAGCTATTTAACATTTTTGCATGTTACTCACAACTGTTAGTGCTTCTGAGTACTTTTAAGTCCTTCAGATACCTCTAGTGTATGTAGAGAATACACGAAATAAATTTTCTGAAAGCCCAGGCCACAGAATTATCATTTCAGGAGGATGTTGCAAGTACATCGAGCTAGAAGCCTTAAGACATCCAGTCTGGAGAGCTGATTTATGAAAATTTGTTTTGGGGATTTCTTAAGAATGAGTTGTTCTGAATCTCTCAAGACTTCTCCAACCATATGAGATTTGGTATCGTGGGGGAGAGGGGGTAGGACTGGCTATATACTTTTTCTTGCATGCAAGAACTAGGAGGCATCGAAGAAAAGGAACAGGGATCAGGGTCAGAACAAAGGAGGTTCTTCCTACAACATGGAATTAAGACTAGGGAAAGGATTTGGGATCCAAGAAACAGGTGGGCACCTTCATGGAGAAGGAATCCTTCAAAAATAGTTGAATGCAGAGATGGAACCTTTGTTTCAGAAGGTCTCTGGAGTACAAAGAATTGTAGTCTGGGAAAGCCTCTCTACAAGGCTCATAGACTTTCTGTTTTCAGTGTCATCTTCTACTGCCATAGTGTGTTGTTACATTCCCTCTGGACAGAGTGACTGGGGGAAAACCGATTATGGATTAGTGAATAAAACCAATATGCCCATGCTGAGAAATGGCTACGAGTTAGCCTTTCCACTGAGATTTTCTCACTGAAGTTCCTGGTGTGAAGCAGGATACCATGGTGTCTGGGATGAGGAATAACACCTCGAGCTAGGGATCCTCTCTTCTTTTGCCTGTTTCTCCAGCCCTAAGCTCACTTGCACAGCAGTGCTGCTGAGTACAGACGTCAGTCAGACACAGTTGTGAGATTCATGAAATCTCTTTTGTAGCCAGCAGAGAGCATTTTAATCATAGCAGATCTGGAAGAGAGAACTCCTTACTTTTCCATGTAATGTAAATGTTCTCAAAAAAGGTTAGACTTGTAATGTTTCCGTCTGACAAACCTCAAAAGAAAATAGATGAAACTGCATCACAGCTGAGTTTGTACCAGCAGCATTTGGTGATCCCCAGCTGGAAAGCTGACTCAGGAGAGAAAATATTTTGCCTGAGAATACCCTCTTCTGAAATTGAAGCTGGTTTACAAAAATAAATAGGAATGTGAGAGTTGAATTTCACTTATTTTATTCCACGATGAGGGGTTTCAGGAAAGCTAGAAAAGGAGTCAGGGCTTCGTAGCGTTAGAGGGGGAAGTGCCCTTCATTCTCATCTTCTGAGCCAGAGACGATGCATCAGGGGGCTGCTCTGTGGAGCGGTTGCGACGGGAGCCTCCCAAGGTAAGGAGAGTTCTCTGCAATATTCATGTGGTTTAAACAGCTCCATCTCCCTGGAAGAATAAAGTCATGGAGGCAGTTTAGTGGCTACTATTCCTGTGACTTTCAAAGTTGTTTTTTTTTATTTCCCAGTGGCTATGGGAAGCTGTCAGGTAAACACCATAAATACGGACTTAGATCATATTTTTAGCACCTGACAGTACTGCAGGATTTCAGCTGGACTTTAGAAAGCACGATCATGGCACTAAATGGAGGCTAGTTTAGTTTTTCAGACTGTCAGCTACTCAGGTGGGTATATAACTACTGTCAGTGCAAAAAATAATGATGGAAAACCATCAGTTGCTCACCCCACAACATCCGCAACATTTGCAGTCCCCACAGATTGTTCCGAAGAGGCCGTTCACCACCTGAATGCCGCAGAGCACTACCTGGATCCCGCTCATGATGAGCAGCAAGGAGAAGAGGGTCAGGTTCCACGGAACAATGTTTTCGGGTGACTTACATGCATTCCACAACGTGTGGTTACTGAGGTAATCCCTGGGGGGGAAACAAAACATTTCTGAAGAAGACAGAGGGGGTCTGCCACAGCGGGCAGTTGTTGCTGCCGCGACGGAGGTGAGGTTCTGTCAGCCTCAGTACCGTAAGAGAGAGTTTCCATTCCCACACTCGTGCTACGTAAATAGATCGTAATTTCAGTTTAGTTTCTGGATCAATTGAAGCAACTGATCTGGAAAGACAATGCACCAGAAGGGAACACTTGGAGACAAGTACATGTTCGATACCACTGGACAGTTTCTGGTGTTCTGAGAAGAGACCTCAGCCCACCAAGTGCCCGGTGTGAGAGTCCGATGCCGGATTGGGGCATTTGGTCCAGTACCTCAAAATACTTTTGGGAACAAGGAAGCAGTGTTTCATTCTATGCCTAAGCTTTTGGTTTTGTTTTTTTTTTTTACCGTATGACACTGTAGTACTCACAAAACAAGTGAATTATCAAAACAATATGATAAAAAGATGAATAAACTCAGTTCTCCTAACAAAACACTACATGCTACAAAGCCAGTTGCTTCTTACATATTGAGCAGAAGAGGCAACTTCCAAATTCTATAACCAGCATAAAATGGCACATAGATTCTAATTATTTGAATAACATCAAATTTCAATATAAGATGTCACTGCTGATGACCTAGGTGGAATTTATGCGTGTGTACTGCTTAGCATCCCAGGAAAAACCTAGAAGGCTGTGCCTTTCTCTTTTTTTGGCTCCTTTGAAACCCTGTAGTTTTGATTGCACTTGCTGTTCTTTACATCTATGCTTTTGAACCTTATTTTATATTGATGTGCATTGCTGGCTCTTCTAAGAGCTTCATTGTTTTAGACAAACAGTATAATTCCCATCTTTATACAACAGATTTGGAAGTTAAATAGTATCACAAACTTAAAACATATGTCACTTTTTTTTTTGGATTGTCTTGTCTTACCCATCCTGGAAAGGATAGGTCCACTCTGTTCCAGTGTGACATTTAGGGCCTCTGTTTAGGGCTAGTGCTGACACAATAAAGCAGTATCCAGCTCCCACAAGTCCAACTGCAGCAAATATGATAGAAGAAAACATCTGATGGAGAGAAAATTAATATTATTGTTGTTTTCATTCAAACAATGGAATGTGCCCTATTAATGTGAACGTGCATTCCCTACATTCAGCTCTTAACAGCTCGAGTGACCAGCTCCCGAAGAGCTAAAACGGACTAGTTTGCAGTTACACGGTAGTTGTGCAGCTCGTGTTCTGAGGCTCAGCCAGCCGTGGGTGCGGGCGGGCAGGGGAGGCTGGCACGGTAGATGGCACTCCTCCCTTTCCCAGCCGACCTTTGCTGCCTGCCATCAGTGCTCCCGAGTCTCTCAGTTGGATGTCTTTCTCCAGAGGTAACAAGTGAGACTGAAATCTTGGACCACTCAAAACATTAAAAAAAAAACAACCCAAACCAAAAATACCCTTTACAAGTTAGCTTTGGTATCATGGACCAAGTAACTATATTTTTCCTTCCTGAGTTTCGTTCAGGTTTCGTACTAATGCACTTTATCTCCTCGCTGATGCTTGTCGTCGTTAGCTCTAATAGTGCAATTGGAATGGATTGGAAAGGATGTCTTTATTTCTCTGGCTTTCCTTTACAGCATTTCCATATGTACTAATATGTAAGTAAATCATGCAAAAGCCGATGCCTTGCTTGAATTCTCAGGCAGTTATAGCCAGTGTCTTTTATTGGATCAAAGGGGAAAAGGGAACATACTTCCAGCTCTGTGAGCTTTTATTCAGACTTCGTCATGAGACTCTCCCCTGAGCATTGACATGAATTTTCATGCTGATCTACCTGATGGGGCTAACTTAAACATTATGTAGTAGACATCGTATTAGTGGTGTTTCTGCTAACGTACAAGAACAAATTCAGCTCTCAGCCGTGCTGTGGCTGGGCCCCCTGGACGCTCCTAGCATGGTGCATGTAGTGCTTGTGACTACGATGCCCCTGCTGCTCCCTGACTTATGTATTGTTGTTGGAGCTAAACTAAGGCATGTGCACTGCCAGCAGAACCAGTGAGGCGAGGGGAAATACGCAGCTTTGCTTCAGCTCCTCAGAGCTCCAGCTGCTTTGTTGGGATTGCATGAAAACAGCATCAAAGGCAGGAGATTTAGGGAATGCTCCTTTAACCTGACCGTCATGATTCTTTGCCTGTCTGTTTTTCCTTTATTTTTTTTTAATTATAAACCCATTCTTTTATAAAAATGTGTAATCATCTACTTGAGCCAAATAATATATTTCAAAAGAACAGGCTTTTCACAGTAGAAATACATATTTTTTTCTCTAATCTCGTTTTTAAACTAAACTGTTTGAGATGTTTACTACAAGGGGAAATGGGTTTAAATTGCGCCAGGGGAGGTTCAGGTTAGATATGTGGAAGAATTTCTTTACTGAAAGGGCTGTCAGCCGTTGGAACAGGCTGGCCCGGGAGGGGGGGGGGGCACCAACCCCGGGGGGGTTTAAAAAAAAAGTAGATCTAGCACTTGAGGCTATGGTGTAGTGGGTAAGGA